TGCACTCCCAGTTTGGGTGACAGAGTGAGACTCCAACTCAAAAAAAAAAAAAAAAAAAAAAAAGAAAGCACAGGTTAATTCTTATGTAAACACAAATGAACAAACAACATTTAGATATAAGCTGCTAATATGTTCACTGGTCCATGACCTATTAGGAACCGGGCTGCCCAGCAGGAGGTGAGCAGTGGTAAGCAGGGAAGCTTCATCTGTATTTACAGCTGCTCCCCATTGCTCACATTATCACCTGAGCTCTGCCATCTGTCAGATCAGAGGTGGTATTAGAGTCTCACAGGAGCAAGAACCCTGTTGTGAACTGCGCATGCAAGGGGTCTTGGTTGCATGCTCCTTATGAACATTTAATGCCTGAAGATCTGAGGTGTAGCTGAAGTAGCAATGCTAGCACTGGGGAGTGACTGCAAATACAGGTTAACATTAGCAGTGAGGTCTGACTGCACATCCTCCAGCCCCCAGATCCGTGGAAAAACTGGTCTTCCACTAAACTGATTCCTGATGCCCAAAAAAGGTTGGGGACTGCTGAATATATCAGAAGAGTAGGAGTAAAGTATTTAAAAGATTAATACTTGTCTGGGCTTGGTGGCTCAGTCTGTAATCCCAGCACTTTGGAAGGCCGAGGTGAGTGAATTGCCCGAGTCTGAGTATTCGAGACCAACCCGAGCAACTTGGCGAGACCTCGTCTCTACAATAAATAAAAAATTAACTGGTCGTGGCAGTGTGGACCTGTAGAACTGGCTACTTGGAAGGCTGAGACAGAAGGATCACCAAAGCCCAGCGGGTTGATGCTGGGGTGGCTGTGAGTAACTCCAACTAAAAAAAAAAAAGATTAATAACTTAGCAACAAATATGAATTTATAATACAGTTTATTTTCATAATTATATTATCTTAACTCCTGAGAAGTAAAGTTAGCATTAATATAAAATTTCATATATATTAAATGAATACAAAATTTAGATAAATATTAATTATCAAATTAACTGATTAAGTAATTCTGTATGTTAGTATTCATGACTTGTTTTGCATGTTGACATTCCATTGTGAAAGAAAACCTAGCCCTGAAGAAACTTTAAAAATAAAATAATTTCTCATTCTTATTTGGTACAGAACAAGTTTATGAGCCATCTTTGTTCAAAACCAGTTTCCAACTCCAGCAAAATCAAAGAGTGTTGTGAAAAGAAACCTCTAGAGCGCGATGAATGCATAATGAACACAAGTAAAGAGGATAGAACAAAGGATTTATCTCTAAGAGAAGCAAAATTTACTGACAGCAAAAATGTGTGTCAAGAACGAGATACTGACCCAGACAACTTCTTTACTGAGTAATATAACTCTTCATTAAAATTTACAAGAAAAACAGAGAGAAACTTTTAAGATATGACCTATGTTAACCAAGTTAGATAGAAAAATATGGAACCATTTATTTCACTGGGTTTCATATAATTTCTAAAAATCATGGCTATAGACTATAGTGTTTTCACATAATTTTAAGAAAAAGCAACTGTGTTGTTAAAGTGCTGGCTAGCATTTATTGAGTACTTGATATATACCAGGCACTGGGCTAAATACTTTATGCAGATGATCTATTTCAGTACTCATACTCATCACGTAAAATAAGTACACTCTCTCCCAGTTTTTCAGATGAGTAAACTGAGGTACAATGAAGCGACTTGTTCAAGATTCACAGCTAAACAATGATAGAGTAAGGTTTGATCTCAGGAGGCCTAGCCTGAAGAGTTATAGGCTTCCTTCACTTATGAGTGTACTTTGCCACCCCACACTGTTTAAGGGGAGACTTGTGGATGTGGAACCACAAGGACTAGATTTGAGTCCTGGTTGTGTCATTGAGTCAAACAGACCTTTCTGTGCTTTGTTATGTTGCATCTAAAATTTGTGTGAGAATATTTATTCACTTAAAGTTTATGGGTAATGAAATATAATCTGCTGGGCTCGGTGGCTCAGCCTGTAATCCTGTGCTTTGGGAGGCTGAGGTAAGTGGATTACCTTAGCCCGTGGGTTCGAGATCCGCCTGGGCAACTTGGCAAGAATTCATCTCTACAATTAAAAAAAAAAAAAAAAAAAATAGCCGGGCGTGGTAGCGCGCGCCTGTAGTTCCACCTACTTGGAAGACTGAGGTGGAAGGATCACCGGAGCCCAGCAGTTCGAGGCTGTGGTGGCCGGGAGCGGCCACTGCACTCCAGTCTGGGCGACAGAGTGAGACTCCAACTAAAAAAAAAAAAGAAAAAAGAAAAAAAAAAAGAAATATAATCTAGGGACTTGATTGGGTTTTACATCCAGGAAGCCTTCATTCATAGGTAGTGTAAAGTGAGAAGAGACAGACCTATAAATAAGTGCAAAAAATGTTCTTTTATTTCTGCTAGTACTATGTTGTAGGGATTGTGAGGGGCAGAAGAAGAAGTGGTCGATGGTACATGAGGACCCTGAAATGGCTTGACAGGGAGGTGGTACTTGAAGCAACTCCAGTAATCTAGATAGAGGACAGAGCATAGATGAAGGCATAAAACCATTTGGTATATGTATGACTGTGCATTTGTAGCAAGAGGCCAGGATAGTGAGAGGTAGGTGGGGCCAGAATACACAGGTGTGCTAGCAATGGGGTACCAGTGAATGGTTTTTCACTGAAGAATAAGGAAGGACAAAATCACTTTTATTTTTTAGAACTTTCATCTGGAATAAATCCCAGGTTAGAGTTTAGATGTCCTGGTGGGTAATTTTCCCACTCAATGAGATGAGAAATATGAGTGAAAAAGCAGGTTTGGTGGAAGGATAGTATGTTCAGGTCTGAGCACATTGGCTTTAAGGTGCTGGTAGAGTAACTAATTGGAATGATCAGGAGATAATTCTAGATGTGAACCTGGGGATCTGGAAGAAAGTCTGGCTTAAAGATACAGGATCTAATAACAATTAATGTTTATGGACTACTTACTATATTTAAAGTATTTCATATCTCCTAACCATTAAATTTTTAAGATAGCCCTCTGAGATGGTAATACCTTCATGATCCTTATTTTGAAGATGACACAACAGGTACAGAGAGTAACTTGTAACTTGTCTTAAAGTCACACAGCTAATATGGGGTACAGCCAGGATTCAAATGCAAGTGGTGCAGTTCCAGACTCCTAGTCCTATAACCACTGTGCTATATAACTTCTCATGAGTTGCAGATATTACAAAAAATTAAATTATACAAAATGATAGATAGTACTTGACACATGTGTTCAATAAATGGAAGGCATTGTTATCGTCATCATCATTACCATTACAACACAGATGGTGTCTGAAGCATGGAGAGACATGGTAGAGTCATAGTAAACATGCTGGTTCAGAATGGAGTCCTAAGGTACAGTCTTTCTGGATGGGGACATATGAGGCAAGACTTCAATGGATACCCCAGCCTACAGTAGGCTTTCAGGAGTTTTTGTCTGTAGCATTTTGAAGTGCGTTTAGGTGTGTTTTTTCCTCCGGGAAGAAGTCCACGGTTGATGTCAAATATGAAGAGGAGCCCTGATTTTCTGAAGGTTAAGTACCATGGCCCCAGGGTATGGGGCTATATCCCTCAAATGAACTAGGAAGGCAGATGGCAAGTTGGAGAGATTGTCTCAGGAAAGGCAAGATTAATCAAGAGGGTAAAAGACTGGGAAAAAAAAGGGAGGAGAAAGAAAGGAGTTGCCTGGTCATGAAAAACTTAGGAGATACTGCTTTCACAAAACATGGAAGATCTTAAATTATTGTGAATGAATAGATGAGATTATCTTATGAAGAAGACTGTAAATAGCTCAGCTGAGGTATTTTTCTCTTGAGAAGAGAGTCAGTTTGGTATAAAAATGAATTGACTTAGGATCAAACTTTATGTCTTCCATTAATAACAGGGTGCTCAACCAGCCTGTGTCTTAGGTTCCTCAGTCGTAAAATAGTACTAATCTTGAGGACGAAGTGAAACCTAATGAGAAGGGGTTTATTGACCGGGAAGTTATCTCTATCGCTTATGCCCAGAGCTTGCTCCAGTGTCTAGCACCTACTAAGGCCTTAATAAATGTTAGCCTTGTTCCTTCTCTTTTTTGCTTCTTCTCAAATCACACCTACCTATGTCCTTCAAGCTTTTAACTGAGCGGATGGAAACCACTGCCAGTGATTTAGGACAGAAGGGGTAAACATTCCCACATTTGGTAAGAAACAGGATGGAATAATGGGCAAAGGCTGTCCCTCACCTCTTCACTCACAGCGCTGGGAGTGAAGTCATATTTCCAGCATCCCAGGTTGAAATCTGAATGCATTTTCCAACAAAATTAGACTCAATAAGTATTTTCTAAAGTACTTGGGGCCCAGTGCATTATGATTAAACATTCTAATAATTAACTCTAAATAACTCCAGTAATTTTATTCCCCCAAGCAAAACATTGTTAGTCTAAAATGTACTGTAGAAAAAAACTTATGTGAAATGATCTTCTACAGTCAAAATGTCTTCTGAAATCACTCTCTGATCACTCTCTAAGGAGAAACTTAGCATTTGAAAGTAGAGTCAGTATTAGAAGACCAGATTAGAAGACATTTGGGGTTGTGCTCTTTCTCTACGTTTTAATATACAAAATATTCTACACATCACAGGTTTACTTATGAATACTCAAGGAGACATTCAGACCTGTCTATACCACAACTTTTAAGAATTACTAATGTATACAAGGATCTTCTGCAAAATTGCTGCAAAACAGAAAACCCTCCAGATTGTTACCGTCATGCGGTAGGTTTCATCATTGTAGGTTCAGAAAATTTTAAAAAATAACAGGAAAAAAAACACTTAAAAAATTAACGTAAAAGTTTTACTCCAGTGTAGGGGTGGAAAATGTGATTGACCGATCTACGTCTGCTTCAAATTCAGTGTAAGATATCACTGGAAAGGCCAATTTCATCAATTTGGCATATGTATAATGTTTTTGACTACTAATCTGGTGTGTTGATTAAAAAAACTCTTCCCACTAAATATTTACATTTTTATTTACATACTCTGTATTTTATTGAGTTATATTGGATTTTTTATTATTGTAAGAGTAATAAATGATTATTGTAAATGACAAGGAAAGTATCAAAAGTTACCAAAAAAAAACCCTTTCTGATTCTACCACCAAGAAATAGTTATAATTAACATTTAAAAAATCTTTTCCATACATGTATGCATATATGTGTGTGTGTGTGTTTAAACATATGACCATCATAATTCTCAGAAACTTTTTGGGCCTGTTTTATATTTGGTATCATAGAAAACTTTCTGTTTGTTGTTGTTATAAATGTGCTCCATTAGTTTCCTGTTATTACCACAAACTATGTGGCTTACAACAGTGAAAATGCATTTTCTGACAGGAGGCTAGAGGTCTGAAATGAGTCTTGGAGGTGAAGTTCAAGATATCAGAAGGACTGTGTTCCCTCCAGAGGCTCCGGGAGACTATTCCTTGACTCTTCCTGTTGTCAGTAAAGGAAACTCCTTATGTCCTTAAACAGGCTTCAAAATATACTTCTTTTTAATTGATGGCATCCCATCATAAAGTAATTTATTTAACTGCTCTCCTACTGTGTGTCAGACATTTGAATGTTTATTTAAGTTGTTCTGTAAGTGACCCTGAGATGAGTATCTCATTCCATTTATCTTTATTAATACAGATGACTATTATCTTAGGAGAGATTAACAGAAGATACATTATTGGGTGAAAATGTGTGGACTTAAAAAAAATTTGACACAAACTGCCAAGTTACCTTCCAGAAAGTTTTTGCCAGTGTTTAATTCCACAACAGTGCTTGAAAATGCTCATTTCAACTTCATTTTTACCAATATTGCACATGGAAATTAACTTTGCTAGATTTGTATGCAATAACAGTGCCTATGATATAAACAACATTTATTTGATTTTTAAACAATGTTAAACTTTTCCCATATGATTCTAGCTATTACATTTATAACTCTTCTATGATAATTTGTTCATTTTCCCACTGAAATTAGTGTTTTTCACGTCAATTCATATGTATTCCTTATATATTGTAGAAATTGACATTTTTGGTTTCCCATTCCTTATATGCTACTTTTGCTTTATTTAAACACTTTATTCTGAAGTTTGGCGCAGTGGCTCATGCCTGTAATCCCAGCATTTTGAGAAGCTGAGGCAGGAAGATTGCTTGAGCCTAGGAACTCAAGACCAGCCTGGGCAACACAGCAAGATGTCGTTACTACAAAAAAATCAAAAAATAAGCTGGGCATGGTGGTGGGCGCCTGTAGTCCCAGATACTTGGAGGCTGAAGTGAAAAGATTGCTTGAGCCCAGGAGTTGCAAGTAGTGAGCCATGACTGTGCCACTGCTCTCCATATTTTCTTCTGCTTGCTATAAAAATCAGTTTATGCCCATTCGACTTTGAGCAATGGTGTCTGAAGACCTTCATTCCTACTCTGTCACTGCACCTAAGAAAGCTGTTTGTTTCCCATTTTTAAATAAACATAGTGCAAAAAAAATTCCCTTTTTACATGGAAATACAATTTGTCCCACAGCATCCATCCATTGGTTTTTAGTTCTCTCTCTGGTGGCCACTTAGTAGATGTCTAATTTTATGCTATATGAGACAAAGTCCATCAGATAGTTAAAGACAGCTATTGAAGGTTTTCAGTTCCAAATCCAAATAATGAAAAATAAATAAAATAAAGACAACCATGATACAAACCATTATGCAGCAATACTTACGAGCTGGGTTATTCTGGGCAGGTCACTTAATTTCACAAGACAAGTTTCCTTAAAAATGGAGCTAACAACTCTGGCTATTTCAAAGAGAGAATTGAATGTGATTATTGTCAATGCAAGATTTAAATTCCACTTTGTAAATTGAAAGGCTCTAAAAAATGAACAAAATGATAGTGGACTTTCAAATTTAACAAAAATTTCTATAACTGACAAAATTCAAATTATTGCACACATATACAAAAATATGAAAAAAAATAGGAAGAGTTTGAAAATATTATATAAATAAAAAAACTATTTGACAAGTTGATATCAAGCTTATGATTAAATTTTCAATAAAATGTTTGTAACCATGATTGTTCTTTTTCAGGAAGACAAATTCAATGAGACAACCGAGAAAAGCCTCAAGATGGTACAACAAGAATGTAAACGTTTCCGGAATCTAGGGAAAGATGGCTTGAAATATCAGTAGGTTGTTTGTTCAAGTCGGCTAACCCTTGTTATCAGGATAAAATAAAGAACCACTCAAAGTGTTAAAAAGTTAGCTCAGGTCATTCAGTTATGGCCAATTCTTAAACTCTGGGAAAAGAAATTTTAAAAATAGCCAAGAATACACATTGAGGTGTCACATTAATCTTTTACTGGAAATGAGACTAGAAATGAAAGAAACAGGTTTCTGGACAAATTGATTCTCTAATGCCTTAGTTTCTTTTTGAACTTGGTTTTCTCACACCTAACCCAACAATCCTGGATCTGTCCCATCTGAAAGTGGACAGAGCAAATTTCAAGTTGTTACAGTTTCTTCGGGAAGAGATGGTTTGCCGAGGATTTTAGCTCATCTTAACTGAACTTACAGAAATAGCTTTGGGTTTGCTTAACACTTCAATATTTACTTTTTTAGTTCTCTTATAAGCATTCATGAATAATATTAAGGTTTTCTTAATTGTGCTAACATATTATTTGTTGAAACTAAACATCTTCAAACAAATCAAAATGCAATTTAAAAGTTTGATTTTGAGCAGTCCCCTTGGGTCCCCTCCCACTGTGGGAGCTTTCCTGTCCTCTTAATAATTCCAGCTTTATATGTTAAAAAAAAAAGATTTGATTTTAGTGTTTGTACAATTAATTGTTAGGTGAGCTTTCAAACTCAGTTCATTAAAGATCTTAGTTTCCCTCATCTCAGATTGTCCTTTCTCAACATGTATCTATTACATTCTCCCTTTAAAATATTTACCAACTATGCAAAGGATTTCAAGCAGGATTTTATATATTAGCCGAGGTATTTGCCATCAAGGAGCTCCTAAACTTACAGATAAGACAGGACAGGCAAATTTAAGAGTTTCTGTGATAACCATGGAATTTGAAAGGAAGCTAAGATAGATCCAGGAAGCTGGGTGCAGGAGAAAACAGAGTAAAGAGATATTTCTCTACAATTTTATAAGATAGCGGAGGTTCCTATTGCACTTAATGTCAGTTGTTTCTAGCCTTGAAGGTTCTAGGTTTCAGTACTTATGCAAGGGGAAATGGATAACCTGCTTTTGTTCAGAACCAATCAGACAAATGTTCTTCCAGCTACCTAATGAGTCTCACAAAGATAGCCCCCCAACTATCCACTGAAGAACTGATGTTTCTTGCCAAGAGAATGGTGATGGCTTTGACTACCTGCTGCACACAAAGTGGAGAGTTTGCTTGTGTTGATAATTTGGTGAGCATGGTCTGAATTCCTAACTATTCTTTTAAAAAGGGATATTTGCATACATTGATTTATAGTGATTATCTGCCTTCCTCTCTTTATTGTCTTCAACAATGCCATGCAAGGAATGTCAAGTTTTTCTTTTGGCCCGTTTTGTGAAAACATTAAGAAGTAAAAGAGAATGTCGTAAATATTTTGGGGAATGTTCTCTAAATTATCTTTCTTATTTATATTAGAAGTGATTTGTTAGAGAAAATAATTTAGAATCACAATATCATTTCAAAATGCTATAGGAAACTTTATAGTTTAATGTTACAAGTTTTCCCTCTTTCCCTAAGGGGGAAAGTTCAACAAGAAAATTGCTTTTTCTAGCAATCGGGCGTTGAGTGTTCTCTTTAGGGTTGGGATGGGGGGCATCTTGGGGGACCTCCAAGGAAAAGAATAAACCCAAGGACCACAGTGTTAAATCATCACTTTTAATTGGTTATTTTCAGCTCTCTGCTGACAATCAAAAGTTTGTGTATGTTACTGAGAAGTTCACCTGTAGGCATCTAAATTGCTATGATGTGGATTTTGGTTATAATGCCATTAGGACCCCAGCGTCTACTTTTCTTTGTACATAGTGATATGTTATGAGTGCGTGTGTTTTCCTGAGTAAGGTTAACAGTGAGCTTCAAACAGTCTAGCTATTCATTTAACCATATTTTTCAAAAGTTGGTTCAAGTTTTAAAATCATATTTGAATTGTGACTCTCATTGGCACAGGTGGATTCAGCTCTTGGAGAACTATGTGGGGTAAATTTAAATCGAACTATCAACCCTGCTGTGGACCGCTGTTGCAGAACAAACTTTGCCTTCAGAACGCCCTGCTTTAAGGATTTGAAAACTGATAAAACATACGTGCCTCCACCCACCAGTCAAGATTTATTTACCTTTCACACTGACCTGTGTCAGGCCCAGAATGAAGAGCTTCAGAGAAAGAAAGACAGGTACAATCTCTCCCATTCCTCTTTTTCCTCCGCCTAAAGACAACATCATGTATTCGTGAAGTTTGTTGTAATAAATATGGGTTTTTGGTATCATGATCCCGTTCCTTCCACCACACTGTCTGCTCTCTTCTTTTTCTCCAGAGAGACACCAGTGCATATTTCTTGCCATTGTTTATAACTAAAAACCTAGCCTGTCTTTTCCTTTGAAAGAGGATCCAGTAGACTATGATTTGGAAAGACGAGTTAGAGCAGCCAGCAAAAAGGCTTATAGGTAGGTTCCTAATGACCTGGAATTTTTTGAGAGAATGCCCTGAGAAGCCTGCTTAATGTTTAAAGAAGAGAGACCCAAAGGGATAGGGATTTTACTTTTATTCTCTCAGGCAATGCTTTAAATGCCAAGAAATAAGACCTGTTTTTTTAGTTTAGACAGTACCTGTAGCAAGTGTAGTGGAAAGAGCATTCAGCTACTGAACAAGAGGGATTGGAGGTTGCTTTGGATGTGAATTTTCCAGAAAGATCAAGTGTAGTCATGTATTCTATAATACTGCACATAATAAAGACCTAATATATGTTTTCATTTTTAATAGAATAATACTCTTTTTTTTTTTTGAGTCGGGGTCCCACTCTGTTGCCCGGGCTGGAATGCAGTGACATGTTCCTGGCAAACCCCAGTTTTGACCTGCTGGGCTCCGGCAATCCTTCCATCCCAGCCTTCCAAGTAGCTGGAACCACAGGTGCACGCTACCACACCCAGTTCATTTTTGATTTATTGTAGATACGAGGTCTCCCCATGTTGCCCAGGCTGGTCTCAAACCTGTGAGCTCAGACAATCCTCTCGCCTCAGCCTCCCAAAGTGCTGGGATTACAGGCTTGAGCCACCATGCCCAGCTGAATAATTCTTTTATTTTTTTATTTTTCTTTTATTTTTTTTTGAGTTGGAGTCTCACTCTGGCGCCCAGACTGGAGTGCAGTGGCTGCTCCCGGCCACCGCAGCCTCGACCTGCTGGGCTCCTGTGATCCTTCCGCCTCAGCCTTCAAAGTAGCTGGAACTACAGGCATGCGCTACCACGCCCGGCTGATTTAATTCTTTTATTATGTGCAATAATCATAGTGTAATACACCCTCATATTTTCTAGCCCATCCTATTCTAATCTGGTCTATTTTAATTCTTTTAACTATCTTTTTTTCATTTTAAAAGCAAAAGTGAGAAAACACAAAATGTTGTTAGTTCTTAAATGTGAGGGATGGGCATACAGGACTTAATATATTATTCTCTCTACTTTTGTGCAGGAAAAATTTTATTACTTAAAAAGTTTATTCTAAAAATGTACTTTTGAAACCCACCAGTGGATTGGATTGCACTAGCTTCTTGAAAATCACTGAAATTCTAGAAGTTACTAGAAATTAAGGAAATTACTATTGTTTATGACAGTTGTTACACTTAGTTGTAATAGCTTCTTCCTTTTTAATTGCCTCTTTGGCATCATTTTAAAATTAATATATAACAATTGCACATTTTTGGAGTAGATGTGATATTTTGATATCTGTGTACAATGTGTAATGATAAAATCTGGGAATTGGAATATCCGTCACCTCAAATGTTTATTCGTGTGTGTGTGTGTGTGTGTGTGTGTGTGTGTGTGTGTGTGTGTGTGTGTGTGTATTGGAAACATTGTAGTTCTAGCTATTTTGAAATGTGCAATACATTATTTTTTGCTATCATTTCCTTTCTGTACTATCAAATACTAAAAATTATTTTTTCTATCCAACTGTATTTTTGAACCCCTTAACAAACTTCTCTTCATCCCTCCTTCCCCTTTGTACACACTTTTTTTTTAAAGATGTGGGGTGCAATTCAGGCTTAAGTATACAAGTAGACATTGTACAGGTAAAGTTTGGGCCTCCCTTTGGTCTCATTTTGCCTGGTTTGAGACCAGGTACCCTTACTGATGTTGTGTCCCCCCCACCATGCTGGCAGTATCCCACTACTACCAATCCCTTTTTTATAGTATTATGGTAAATATTCAGGGTCCGCTTATGAGTGAGAACATGTGGTACTCTGTTCTTTGTTTCTGTGATAGATGACTGAGTATGATAGACTCTAAATCCATCCAAGTTGCTGAAAAGTCCATAATTTTGTCCTTCTTTATGGCTGCACAATATTTCATTGTGCATATGTACCATATTTTTAAAAAAATTCGGCCCAGTTTCAAAGGGCAATGCAATTGGTTCCATGTTTTTGCTATTGTGAATAGTGCTTCAGTAAATATGTGTATGTAGGTTATTATTTTTGCTGAATGATTTGAGTTCCTCTGGCTATATTTCCATTAGGGGGAGTGCTGGGCCATATGGAAGGTCAATGTCTAGTTCTTTAAGAAGCCACCACACTGTTTGACAAAGAGATTGCATTCTCATCAGCAGTGTAGAAACGCTCGTTTTTCTCCACATCCTTGCCAGCATCTGTTGTTTGCTTTTATTAATGATGGTCATTCTTACTGGGTTTAGGTGGCATCCCAATATGGTTTGATTTGCAGTTCTCTGATGATTAGTAAGGTTAAGCACCTTTTCATGTGTCTGTTGACTCCACATATATCTTTTGAGAAGTGTCTGTTCATGTCTTTTGCCCACTTTTTAAAAAACTTAATTTTTTTAATTTTAAAGATGTGGGGTACAATTCAGGGTTAGGTATACAAATGTTCATTCTGCAAGCACCCTTGTTGACAGAGTATGCCCTCCTCTCCCAAGCAGATTGCCACTACTGCCAATCCCGCTTCCCTGCTTTCCTACCGGCAGTTTCCTGCTACTACCAATTCTTTTCTTATAGTATTTTGGTAATTGTTCAAGGTACACTTATGAATGAACACATGTGATACTCAGTTCTTTATTTCTGTGAAAGATCACTCAATATTATAGACTCTAGGTTCATCCAGGCTGCTGTGAAGTTCATGATTTTGTTCTTTATGGCTGTGTCATATTCCATCGTGTATATGTACCACATTTGTTTTATCCAGTTCTCTTTTGATGGGCAGCATGGTTGGTTTCATATTCCTGCTACTGTGAACAACACTGTGATAAACATCCATGTGCAGGTATCTTTTTTACAGAGTGATTTGAGTTCTTCCGGGTATATTCCCAGTAGGAGGATTGCAGGGTCATATGGAGGGTTGATTTTTTTGATCTTCTAGGAATCGCCACACTGTTTTCCACAGAAGCTGTATTAGTTAACAACCCCACCAACAGTGTAGAAGTGTTCCCATTTCACTACATCCTCTCAAGCATCTGTTGGTTTTTCAGTATTGATGATAACCATCCTGACTGGAGTTAGGTGGTATCTCAGTGTAGTTTTAATTTGCATTTCTTTAATGACTAGTGAGGCTGAGCATTTTTTCATGTATCTGTTGATTGCTCATATGTCTTCTTTTGAGAATTGTCTATTCGTATTTTTTGCCCACTTTGTAATGGGGCTTTGGTCTTTTCTTTTTGGCACGTTTGAGTTCCCTGTAGATCCTGGATGTTAGGCCTTTGTCAGAGATACAGTTGGCAAATATTTTTCTCAGTCTGTGGGCTGTCTCCTTGCTCTCTTGATGGTTTCTTTGGCTTTGCAGAAGCTTGTCTGTTTGATGAGGTCCCACTAGTCTATCTTATCTCTTATGGTGTGGGCACTTGGTGTTTAGATAAAAAATTGGTTGTCAGGGTGTCTCCTGCATTTTCTAAGGTTCTTATAGTTTGAGGTTTTACATTTAGGTCTTTGATTCATTTAGAGTTGATTTTTGTATATGGTGATAGGTAGGAGTCTAGTTTAATCTTCTGCATGTGATCAGCCAGTTTCCCTGACACCATTTACTGAATATGTTCTCCTCTCCTCAGTGGTTGGTGGCGGAGGCTTTGTCAAAGATGAGTTGGTTAAGAAATTGAGGTTTTTCTTCTGGAATCTCTATCCTGTTCCATTGGTCTATATGTCTGCTCTTGTACCGATACCAGGCTGTTTTGATTATTGTAGCTTTATAATAAAGTTTAAAGTCTGGGAGTGTGATACCTCCCGCTTTGTTCTTTTGTTGAGGATTATTTTGGCGATTTGTGGTCATTTATATTTCCATATGAATTTCTGTATTGTCATTTACAAGTCTGAGAAGAATGCTGCTAGTAATTAAATGGGTATTGCGTTAAATCTGTAGATTGCCTTGGGTAGGATGGGCATCTTAACAATGTTGGTTTTCCGTTCCATGAACATGGAATAATTTTCCATTTGTTTGCATCATCTTTGATTTCTTTGAGCGGTGTTTTGTAGTTTTCTTTGTAATGGTCTTTCACATCTCTGGTTAGGAAGATGCCAAGGTATTTGACTTTTTTTTCTGGCTACTGTGAATGGGATTGTGCTTTTTATTTGGGTTTATGTTCATTTATTATTGTTGTTTGTCCTCTTATTAATGGGACTGTTTGTTTTCTTCTTTTGGCACATTTGAGTTCTTTGTAGATTCTGGATGTTAGGCCTTCTAGATATACAATTGGCAAATATTTTTTCCCATTCTGTGGGCTGTCTCCTAGTTCTTTGGATGGTTTCTTTTGCTTTGTAGAAACTTTACAGTTTGATGAGGTCCCACTTGTCTGTCTTATCTCTCATGGCACGGGCACTTGTGGTTTTGATCAGGAATAGGTTGCTAGTTCCAATTTCTATAAGGGTGTCTTCTGCATTTTCTAAGGTTCTTGTGGTCTGAGGTTTTATATTTAGGCCTTTGATCCATTTAGAGCTGATTTTAGTGGATGGTGTTAGATAGGTGTCCTATTTCAATTTTCTGTATGTGATCAGTCAGTTTCCCAGCACCATTTACTGAATAGGTTCTCCTCTCCCCAGTGATTGTTGGTGGAGGCTTTGTCAGAGATGAGTTGGTTGAGAAATTGAAGATTTGCTTCCAGAATTTCTATTCTTTTCCATTGGTCTATATCCCTATTGTGCCAATACCAGGCTGTTTTGATTATTGTAGCCTTATAGTAAAGCTTGAAATCTGAAAGTATAATGCCTCCCACTTTATTTCTTTCACTGAGGATTGTTTTGGCTATTCTTGGTTGTTTATGTTTCCATATGAATTTCTGTATTGCCATTTCCAGGTCTGAGAAGAATGACGTTAGTAATTTAATGGGTATTGAGTTGAATCTGTAGATTGCCTCTGGTGTAATGAACTTCTTAACAATGTTGATTTTTCCAATCCATGAGCATGGAATATTTTTCCATTTGTTTGAATCTTCTTGGATTTTTTTGTGTGCAGTATTTTGTAATTCTCTTTGTAAAGGTCTTTCACTTCTCTGGTTAGGAAGATGTCAAGGTATTTCATTTTTTATGTGGCTATTTTGAATGGGACTGTGTTTTTCATTTGGTTCTCTGCTTGGTGTTGGTATATAAGAAAGCAACCACCTTTTGAACATTTATTTTGTGCCCTGAGACTTTGTTGAAGTCCTTTATCATTGAAAGCAGGTTTTTGGCAGATACTCTGGTTTTTGAGGCATAGAATCATATTGTTAGCAAAGAGGGATAACTTAACTTGCTCTTTTTCTATGTGTAAACCCCTAATTTCCTTCTGTTATCTAATTACTCTAGCAAGGACTTCCAACACAGTGTTGGACAAAAGGGGTGGGAGTGGGCAACCTTGTCTTTTTCTGATTTTCAGGGGAAATAGTTGCAGTTTCTGTCCATTTTGCAATATGGTGGATGTGGGTTTCTTGTGGTACGTTCCTTCTATGCCCAGGTGTTTGAGGGTTTTCATTAAGAAGAGATGCTGGGTTTTATCAAAAGCTTTTTCTGCATCAAATGATATAATCATGTGGCTCTTGTTTTTACATCTGTTGATATATTTAATTATATTTATGGTCTTGTGTATGTTGAACCAACTCTGTATCCTAGGCATAAAGTCTACTTGGTCATGGTGGATGAATTTTGAGATGTGTTGTTGGATCTGGTTTACTAGAATCTTGTTTAGAATTTTTGTATCTATGTTTATTAGGGATATTGACCTATAGTTCTCTTTTTTGTTGGATCTTTACACAGTTTCAGGATCAGTGTGATGTTAGCTTCATAAAATGATTTGAGGAGAATTCCATATTTCTCAATTGCCTGGAATACTTTCAATAGATTTGGTATCTTCTCCTTCTTGGTTGTTTAGTAGAACTCCGCTGGAAAGCTGTCTGGTGCAGGTTTTTTCTTTTTTTAGGTGGATTTCTTAGGATGGAGTCTATTTCTTGGGTTGTTGTTGGTCTATTTGTGTCTCAATGTCTTCTTGTTTCAAACTTGGGAGGTTGTGTGATTTCAGAAAGTCCTCCATTTCATTTAGGTTATCAAGTTTGTTTCCAGATAGGTGTGCAATCTCTGATCATCTTTTGTATTTCTTTGGGGTCAGTTGTGACTTGATATTTTGCATTTATGGTTGTGTTTATTTGGACTTTTTTCTTGGTCATTCTGGCTAGGGTTCCATCAGTCTTCCTTATTTTTTCAAATAACCACTTTTTTGCTTTGTTGATTTTATTCTATGATATTTTTGTCTTCTAATGTCCCATATTTGGGCTTTTACTTTGGTGATCTGGATTCTTCTGCTAAAGTTAGTGTTTTGGTGGTCTTGTCTTTCCAGCCCTCTTCGGTGATTTGTTAGGGTGCTAGCTTGTGATCTTTCCATTTTCTTGATGTGTGTTCGTAGAGATATAAATTCCCCTCTTAGAACTGTTTTCATAGTATCCCAGAGGTTTTGGTAGAATGTTTCTTCATTTTCATTTGTTTCCAGAAAATTTTAAATTTCTGTTCTGATTTCTATATCAACCCAGTTGTCATTCAACATCATGGTGTTTAGTGTTCATGTCTTTGTAGGTTTTGGGGAAATTTTGTTGGTGTTGACATATTTTTTCCTCTGGTCTCGAAGGTACATGGCAGTATTTTGATCTTATGAAATTTGTTTATGCTTGATTTACGGCTGAGGATGTGATAAATCTTGGAGTACATTCTGTGTGATGATGAGTAGAATGTATAATCTGTGGTTTGGGGGTGGAGTATTCTGTAGGTCTCTATTAAGTCCATTTGGTCAAGCATCAAGTTGAGGTTCTGGATTTATTTATTTATATTTTGGCTCAATGATCTGTCTAGGGTTGTTAGTCAAGTATTTAATTCCCCAGCTATAATAGTGTTAGAATCAATATCTTTTTAAAGTTTAATTAATAATTGCTTTATACATGCTGGTGCTCCTGTTGGGGGCACAATTGATTAGAATGGATATTTCTTGTTGGCAGATCAAACCTTCTTATCATTATGTAGTATCATTCTGTACTTTTTAAATTTTTTGATAGCTTAAAGGTTGTTTGGTCCAATATTAAGATTACAACTCCTGTCTTCTTTTGTGATCCATTGACCTGGAAACTTGTTTTCAGCCCTCCACTTTTGAGTCTGTGTGCATCCCTTGTTGTGTGATGAATTTCCTGGATGTAGCAAATTATTGGGTCATGGTTTTTTATCCATGTGATTCTGTGTCTTTTAGTTCATTCACATTCAGGCTGATTATTGAAACGTGATTGTTTATCCCTGTCATGAGGTTCCTAAAAGTTTTTTCTGTTTGTTTTCTTTTAGCTTTCGGGTTGATGTATGTGTGTGTTTTCAATTTTGCAGTTATATATTCTCTGTTGATTCTGTGTACTTCTGTTCTCTTGGGAAATGTGTGGTCATTCTTTTGTGCTTAATACTCTTTTAAGCATCTCCTGTAGAGCTGGTCTGGAAGCTGCATAATTTCTTAGGTACTGGATGTCTGGGAAGGATTTTAATTTTCTGTCGTTGATGAAGCTGAGCTTGGCTGGGTAAGAAATTCTTGGTTGAATTTGTTTATCTTTGAGGACTTTGAATATTGGACTCCAGTCCCTTCTAGCTTGTAGTGTTTCTGCCAATAGGTCTGTTGCTATTCTGATTGGTTTTCCCCGGAATGTAGTCTGACCTTTCTCTATTACTGCCTTAGGATTTTTTCTTTTGTGCCTACTTTGTGTAGGTGAATTGCCATGTGTCTAGGGGTTGGTCTTCTCATTTGATGTCTTGCGTGGTTTCTCTGTATCTCTTATGTTTGGATGGTCACATCTCTGGTGAGATGCAAAAAGTTTTCTTGGATAACCTCCTGGAATACTTGCTCCATGGTGCTCTCTCATTTCCTTTCTTATTCTGGCATACCAATCAAGCATCCATCCATTTCCTAATCCCTGTTGTATTCTGTTGGTGATTTCCATTGTTTGGGCTCTGAGGTCTGATTTTTCAGGCATTTTCTCTTTGTTACACTGGGAATTACCTGTGTTCTTCTATTGATTTTCCCTCATTTGTGACAGATCTCTTTCTTTCCTCTTTAGTTCCGTTATTCAGTGGTAGTAGGAGAGGCTTTCCCTTCTGATGTTTTCTCAGCCCTCTATTCTTCCCTGATCAGGTCTCTGAATTTGTTCTATTTTGAAACAGGATTGTGAGTGAGAAGCTTTGCTGTTTCTTATAGTTTTGAGATTTGAGTAAGGTGGAGGATGGAGTTAGGATTCAGAAACTACCTGCAAATAACAATGTCCACTGATAGTGGTATAGTTTCCCTGAGACCCACTCCCTATTACCAACACTCTATATGATGATGCTGTGTGTGTGTGTGTGTGTGTACACCCTGAGTCCATTCACACTTTTTTTTTGAGTTGGAGTCTCACTCTGTCGCCCAGACTGGTGTGCAGTGGCCGCTCCTGGCCACCGCAGCCTCACCCTGCTGGGCTCCAGCGATCCTTCTGCCTCAGCCTTCCTAGTAGCCAGAATTACAGGCATGTGCTACCACACCCGGCTGATTTTTTGATTTATTGTAGAGATGAGGTCTTGCTGCCCAGATGGGTCTCGAACCTGCGGGCTCAGGCAATCCACTCACCTCAGCCTCCCAAAGGTGCAGGATTACAGGCTGAACCACTGAGCCCAGCTCCATTCACACTTTTTATATCATGTTTGTCTGCAATGACATAACTCTCCTAAAGAATGTGACTGTGGAAGCCATTCTTTAAGTTTAGCAGGAAAGTCCCAGGATATCCCTTCAAAAGTGATAACTCCTCTAACTCTTCACATCCACCTAAGATGAGATCCTGAGACTCATGATTCTGTAATAAGCATTTTTGAGAAGAGGAGCTCAGAAAGAAATCATTAATTAATTCTATTTGGCATATTTGGGCCAGGTTTCTTGTCAACCTAGTGAAGCGGAAGCCTGGACTGACAGATGAGAAGCTGCTGACTTTGTTTACAAATGTCACTCTTGTGGTGGAGAAGTGCTGCAAAGCTGAGGGCCCTGAGGCCTGCTTTAATGAAGAGGTATCATGTTTCTTTTCTTCTGAAAACCAACTGGTATTTCTGCTCAAATAAAATTAAACAGAACACTACAGGATCCTGATTTCTCCTGGTTGGACCCTGTTTCCTCCACATGGGACCCTGCTTCCTCCCCTGGGGACCCTGCTTCCTCCCCATGGGACCCTGCTTTTTCCCAGCTGGGCCCTGCTTTCTTCCCATGTGTCCCTGCTCCCCCCCATGCGCCCCTGCTCCCTCCCCCCAATGGGACCCTGTTTCCTCCCTGCAGGACACTGCTTCCTTCCCAGGGGACCATGCTTTCTCCAGGTGGGATCCTGCTTCCTTTCTGGATTGCTAATGAGTTCCGTGTTTGACAGCACAATTGTCATACAATTCATATGCAGTCAGCTCTCTGAAACAGGCTTTGGACCTTCTCCCTGTTATAAGAAAAGCTGTCAGGAAAACTTGGGTTCTAATCCCAGCAGTCTTGGTCATGTAACTTAAAGTGCAATGCAGTTCAGCATCTGTAAATGAAGCTGATAATAATTATTCTTGAATTACACCCCTAGTCCTTACTCTTCTGTTTGGAATCACCCATTTGTTTTGTCACTAAGACAGAGTCAAAGTGACTTGCAAAGGAAATCACAAGCAGCAACAAAGAGAGGGAACCAGAAAGGGTGTTGGAAAGAAGCATTTCACAAGTGCCTGTTCCATGTTCCTGGACCTTGTCCCAATATCTCTGTTGAGAATAATGAGGAAGTCAGTACAGCAAGGGGGAAGAATGGAGAAATGGTTCCTGTGTGTTCTCATTCCAGTGACAGTGGCATCTGTGGCCACTCACTGTGGTGTGAACCCCAGCTATCTGTGACAGTCAGTCCCCATGGACAGCTCTGTGGACGTGTCTTTCCACGTTTCTTTCCCAGAAGGGCCCACTTCTTTCCAAAACTCACAACTCATGCACACCCACAGACACACATGCTCACACATGCCTTCTGCTATAGATGACAGCCCTCTACTTATCTGAGTGAGTGCTTAGTATGTGGGGATTTCTTTTTTTGGGGGGGAGGTATATGCTCTTCAGTTTTTAAATATATACTTTATTTTACTTACAGGGTGTAGCCAATATCTAGCATTTACCTGAGTAAAGCAATATCTAGCCCTTACCTGAGTTCAGACCATGTGAAGGGAGGGATGAATTTATTGGCAATTGTTATAAGGTCTTGGGTGTCTATTTCAAGTTCACTTGGAGAAAGAAGGTTTACTGTCTTCCTGTATGATATAGGAGTGCTTTAAACTGTTTTTAAAATTCAGAGCAACCTGCTTCACTAAATTTAAATACTAGTGTCAAGTTTTTCTTTCTATGTATTTTTAATTTTTTTACTTTCCCCCTCTCAGGGTCCAAAAATTGACAACTGATGTCGTGTTGCTTGAGAAACACAAAGTAAAAAGCACCAAAGGTAATACCTTTTGTTTCGATCAAATGTCAAATGTTTTTGCAGATTATTTGGCCTTCCTATTTTTCTGCCTCTTATGCTTCATTGTCTATTCTCGTTTATCCCACATGCTTTGTAATTAACAGACCTGATGTTGGTCTTATACTGTCTTTCTGAGTATTAACCACTCCTTATGGGGTATTGATGCTTCACTTGTGCTAGCACTTCTCTTACTGTTCAGGGGGTTTTCTGCATAGCCAAGAGGCTGCTATTGCATTCAGCTGTCTGGAACAGAAAGGAAAGACAAATCTCTGAATGTTGACAGAAAAAGAGGGGTAACTCTACAACAGTTTAGGTGGACAGACAACCCTCAATGACCCTTTTCCAATATTCTTTTGAAAATAAATCACTTTATTTAGATATGATTGACACAAAGAACAAAAGTCTTGGCACAGCATTTACATAAAAAGCTGCATATTTGTGATTTCAAAAATAGTTATAAAGGATGTCATCACCCTTGCAATTTATGTAAGTCTCATAACATAAACTTTTGTTTAGAAAAAAATGTTGCATAGACAGAGCAATGATATACAGTATCCTTGAAGAGAGATCTGAACCCCAACAGAGGGTAGATTTAGATCTACAAGAGGCAAAACAGAGTTACCACTAACAATTTGTTAAAATACATGATAATCACCCACATAGTAACATTTCATTTTCTTTTGATTCATAAAATACTGTTTTTCCTTTTCAGTGACGACCAGCTTACAGGTTCCTATCTGTGCTGTGGTGACTTTTATTTCCTGAAAAGTAAAAGGATTCTTCTGTAACCTTTACCTGAAATCATGTAATTGCAGTAAGCAATAAACACAAAATTATAAAGTTATTTCTCAGACTGATGTCATACATCAATCTGACCACAATTAAGTAATCATGATTTATTTATTCCATCCACATTTTTTGCTCCCTGGTTGCATCTGCCCCCTAATTCATGGAAATCAGAACTCTGAAGAGCAGCTGTGGGGACAGAGTGCTCTGGGATCTTGGCCCTGTCACTCCTGGGGAAAAGACAGGGAGTTGAGGACTAGCACCTACTACTATAACTACTGCAACTGCTAACAGTTGACATTTGTTGAATGTTTTCAGGGTACCAAACTTCACTCTAGATACTTTTCAGGCATTATTTCTTTTAATCCTGACAACTTTATGAGTAGGTATCATTTTCATTTCCATTTTACAAACAAGTCTTGAGGAGATTAATTTGTTCATTGTGGTATGGCCAGTAATTGGCAGAATTAAGGTTTGAATCCGTGTCCCCTAATTCTGGAATAATATTCTTAATCACCATACACACCACCTCTTAGGTATGGCCATATTGCCTGCCTTACACAATCTGTTATTCGGAGAGGAGGAAGAGCATCCAAGGCAATAGCAACAAAGACGCTTATTCCTCTCTGTTCCACACCAAGATTCCTGTTATGGCAGAGCTGTGAATGTTTGGTGGGAATGTCAAAGGAAAGGAGAACTCAGGAAGTGAAGATTGCTCATGGGCTTATGGCTTAGCCATCCTGATTGTTCTCTAAATGTTTACGATTTTTAGTGTTTCCATGTCTAACATTGAAGATGATGACCATTTAGTAGATAATACATGCGGATATTCACAAAGTCCTTTTAGTATAATGGTTAGAGCATAGTCTTTGAATATTTATTCAACAAATATTTATTGGAATTCTACTGTGTGTCAGACACCGTGGATACAAATGTAGCAGAAGGACTTGGTTCTCATGTCTTGCTGAGCGGGGAGAGGGACAGTAAGCAGGCAATCACATTTTCATGTCTTGGTCGCAGGAACTCCTGCTCTGGGTGCACGTGGCACAGGTACTCATTCTAAGCTGAAGGTGCAGGGTGCGAAGAGAATGGGGAGCTTCCAATTTCTACTGCCATTAACTTGCTGTAGGGCCTCAGGCAAGTTTCTTACCCTCTATGACTTTCATTTCTTTGTGTAGAATAGACTAATAATCCCCACATCACAAAGGCTTTAGAACAATGAATGAAATTACCATTTAAAGTATGCAACACATTGGCCGACAGATAATAGGTGTTTAATTCATAAAACTTCCTTGTCCTTTAGCCATTTTCTCCAAACAGTCTCATTTACCAATGAATATGACAAAGAAAAAAGTTTTACTTAAACAACAGATAATAGAGTGAACAAAAGGAAGTGAACTAAACACAATTAGTTAATTCAATTTGATACCTAATAGTGGATTCTGCTATGTGTTCAATATCATTTTATTATATTTTAACTTCTTCTTTGATGTCTAATCATTTGAAACATATTTATAATGGTCTTCTCTGTTGATGTTAACATTTTCAATACCATTTTAAGAGAAGTAGATACAGAACTAGGGTCCCAGAAACCTGCTGCCCTCATCAAGACTCTGCTATCCCAGAGGAAAGTGCCATGCAACTCTTTCTCTACTGTCATGCCAGAGTACACACTAATACAAGGAGGGAAGGAGGGAGAGGGATGGTTTATTCAAAAGATGCATTTTGCCTGAAGAAGAGAGGTTTTGGAGTGGGTACAAATCAAACTTTTTCTGTATTACTTGCATGGAATTTGTGCCAATGAATGGAACATACTTGTACTTGATAGAGGAAAAGCTTCCTAACACTAGAGATGCTTGTATTTGTGCCAACCTTCATGGGACTGTAGTGAGTATCAAGACTGCATATACCAGAGCTGTTACCACCTGGGTTTCTGGCAGGATCCAGGTATCCAATTCTGTTCTCTCTAGGGTCCCTTTCAACTCTGGTTTCTCTGACTTAAGCAAGAATTAAGCTTGCTGTGAAAATAATATTTATTAAAAGTCATCGTGTGTCTTGTACCCTTTCCATTTTTTAAAAATCCTCAAAGCAGCTTGAAGAACTTGCTATCTTAAAGGACACCTGTGGTGATGTCTGTGGAGTGATATTACCAAACCCATCCACTTGCCTTTGTTTAACTATGTCCTATTTCTTGTCTTTCCTGTGGTCTAGAATTCCATCATTAGTTACTGATAAGGGTTACAGGACCACGACTTGTTTTAAAATACAGAATTCATAAAATCATAGACTTTGCAGCAAATTGGATGGAATTGGAGACTATCATATTAAGTGGTATGTAACCACCACACCTGGCTAATTTTTGTATTTTTATTTTGTAAAGATGAGAACTCACTATATTGCCTCACGTGGTCTTGAACCCCTGGGCTCAAGCAATCCTCCTGCTTTGGCCTCCCAAGGTACTGGGATTACAGGCATGAGCCCCCATGCCCAGCTGGGACCATAGCTTTCAACACTATCTTTTGGGCGGTATGGCTCTAAAGTCAGACAGACCTGAGTTTTACCTGTAAGTTCATGACCAACGTACATAACTCTGAGTCTTAATTTCTCACTCAAGAAATAATAGTATTGCTATAGACCTGAAAGTCATATAAAGTGCCAGACCCATAGTAGGATCTCAATTAATTAGGTCCCATTCTTTTGGGTTTATTTCTAGTGCTTGTGCTCTGAACAACTCCTCTTTCCAACAACTTGAAAATGTCCCCAGCATTAGAAATAGAGCCCTGATTATTTACTTAATCCATGGTAGCACTTATTTATCTCCTCCTTTAGCACTTTAGAACTTTTGTCATGTTAATGAGCATTCTCAGAAAGTGGGTATTTGCAAAAAGTGTTTATTGATTACTTTATTACAAGGTTTGCATGTTGCAATCTTGAAAAAAAAGTAGGTTAATACAATTGTTTTAAAATACAGCATTCATAAAATCATGGGCTTTGCAGCAAATGGGATGGAGTTAGAGACCATCATACTAAGTAGATTATCACAGAAACAAAGAACTGAATACCGCATGTTCTCACTCGTAAGCACTCTGAACACTAGTCACATTAGTACAAGGGAGGGATCAGCAGTCGCTGGGCACTGCCAGGGGAAAGAGAGAGGATTGAAGGGGGGATGGGGGTCACATGACAACACAAATAGTGCCTGGAACTACCAGGGGGAGTGAGGACAGTTAGAAGCCCAAATTTCACCTGCATGCAGCCTGCTTAGGTAGTTAACTCTTACTTGTACCCCACATCTTTATAATAAAATCAAGTAAAAAATAAAAGAATACAGCATTTATGAATAAATGCAATCCACCGATATTTCTTCACTGTCACAAATTTCCTCAGTTTAATCAGAGTCATAGACTGGAAAAAATATTCAGTAGAATATTTAATTGTAATAGTAATTCCTTGAAAAGAATATAAATAAGTTATTTCTTTCTCCCACATGATAGACCATCTTCCATCAGGGTTCATATAAAACAATGAAGATTATTAAATCCACATCTTTTTTTGTTTTCTTCAGCTATATTGAGTAATCAAATTCTTACAGAAGTTTACTAGATGCAGGAGGGAAATCCTACTTCTAATCTATATGAGTATATCAGGTATAAGGATATGATAAATCAGGCGCAATGACTACTGAAGTGTATTTGGAAAGGCATCTCTTTCTCAGAGGTCATTACTGTCAACAGAATTATTGAAAAGTGAAACAAGATGTAGAAATTGAAGACAATGATACTGATCATCCTGACCCTGTGTAGGCCTGGGCTGATACACATGTTCCTATCTTAGTTTTCGTAGCTATGAGGTCTCTCTAAGTGACCCAACCTGGTCCCAAATTTCTGGACTCAAGCAATCCTCCTGCCTTGCTCTCCCAAAGTTCTAGGATTCCAGGCGTGAGCCACCATACTCAGCCTTCTTGTGCCTCTTTTATAAGGGCACTAATTTCACTCATGATACAATCTCATGAAATAATCACCTCCCTGACGGCACCACCTTCTCAAACCATCACCTTGAGGGTTAGGATTTCAATATAGAAATTCAGATGATTGCAGCAAATAAAATCTCATTTTTTTCCTGCCACACAGCATATTAATAGCCAAAATTATCTGGAGAACTTGAGCCATGCGAGTTCTATTATCAATATTCTTTTATCTGAAATTTGAAATCTCATTCTTTTTGATAGGAATGGGATAAAGACATAACAAAGAATGATGGAGGAAAAGGGTTTGGTGCTGAAACGTAACACTCACATGTTATGTTTGAGCACCAGCATTATGATCGCTCGATGTCTTCGAGAAGCAGCTTCTGAAGTACAAAGCATGGTTAAAGAGAAGTGCAAAAGCCTTAAGTCACATGATTTACCTTCAGAATGGGCTTGCCTGCAAGGGGTGGGGTGAGGGGGGGACACAACATCAATAAGCGTACCTGATCTAAAACCAGGCAAAGTGGGGACCAAAGGGAGGCCCACACTTTTCACCTGTACAATGTCCATTTATATACCTAATCCCGAATTGTATCCCACATCTTTAAAATAAAATAAAATTAAAAACACAAAAACATTGTATAGCTTTACAAAAATATTTTATTTCTTTATACCCTTATTCTAGAAACTTTTTTCTATTTTAAAAATTATTTATTTTTTTACTTTTTAAACTCTTGTTAAAACTAAGATATGAACATGTGTATCAGCCCAGGCCTACACAGGGTCAGGATGATCAGTATCATTGTCTTCAATTTCCACATCTTGTTTCACTGGAAGATCTTCAGGAACCATATAATGCAGGAAGTTCTCATCTCCTATGATAACAATGCCTTCTTCTGGAACACCTCCTGAAGGACTTGCCTGAGACTGTTTTACAGTTAACTTAAAAAAAAAGTAGGAGTCTACTCTAAAGTCCCAAATAAAAGTATAGTATGGTAAATATATAACCAGT